GCTGGCACATCCTGAGCCATGTCCCAGAGCAGGTGTTCTCAGGACCCTTTCCACCTGGTGACACTGGTTCTGAGGCGTATAGCATCTCAGTTTATTGTCCATACCTCCTTCCTCCAGAAAAATGGGTCATTCGTTTCCTTGTTTGAAAGGCAAGGACAGGGAGACACAAAGAAGTGACATATAGACGTGATAGAAGAAAGAAAAACCAAGATCAACTATTCCCAGCTTATTCATGCACAAGCCAGGGCCCCTGAGGAGTGAACAGTATTTGGTTTCATTCTGAACCCGACATACTGACACCGGCCAGACTTCACCAGGGCGGAAGCTCGTACGCCATGAGGTATGAATTGCCACTCTTTTCAAATAAGGCTGATTAACAAAGTGTGGGGTTGGGGTGTCATCCCAAATCCCCCAGGACTTCACAGTCTGAATTTTTAGCCACTTCACTGCCCTGTGTGAAATCTACACCTGGAGCTTTAGATTGAACAGCAGGTGATCGATGATAAATTGATCTTCAGAGTGCCACTGATGAGATAAAAACCCCTCAAGCTGGAAAGGGTTTAAAATATTCTGGAAAGTTCATTGGTGATCTGCCTTCAGCAAATACTGTTTACATTTATGAAGCACATGCTGTCCGCTAGGCTTAATTTTAGATGCTTTGCACAAATGACTTCATTTAAATTCTCACAAAAGACGTGTAAGGTGGGCACTACTATCGCCCCCGTTTTCCCATAAGGAAACCACAGCACGGAGGGGTTCCCAAACTTGCCCAAGGTCACTGAGTAACAAGCAGCCACACCGGGATTCAAGTCCAGTATGACGAGAAATCCATGTTCTTAAACTTGACAGTTATGTCCTCAACGGCCACCTGGTAAATCAAAATGCGCAGGATGGAAATCTAAATATCACTATAAGACAAAAAAACAAGAGATGGCCCAAGAAACAGAGCAAGGACTAGCATCGCCATGGCCCCTCTATCTTTCTGGCTTTTGCAATGTTATGTCATGTAAGCCTCAAATTTTACAAGGCAGACACTGCCCTGACTTTGCAGAGAAGGAAATGGTGGCTAAAGGTCAATGGTTCAAGTTCACATGGCTGCTAAGGGGCAGAAGCACTTTTAACCTTGGATCTATTCAGGCCAAAAGCCCAGACTTCTCGAATCATTTTCATTAGTATCCAACATCCTGTCTTTTTTTAATGTGTCTCCTGAGTATCAGGGCGAATCCTATTTAAAAAACAAACAAATCTATTATGCCTGATGGTTGAAAGCCAGTGAAATGTCTGTGTATTTGCCTAAATGCCAACAAACGTGGAGGCCCCCTGCACCCGCATTTTGCGTCTGACTCACATCCCTGCAGACCCGCTTTATGTGGAAACTCTGCTCCGTGGCCTCAAGTTTCATAAACAAAATCTGATCGGAACACAGGCCCGAGGCCCCAAAGTCAGCTGCTGTCCCCTAACAATGAACAATGGATGTGGAATGTCCGCTCCGCATACATTCCGAAGGAGCTGGTTCCCCGGCTCCTCGGAACAAGCCAAGGACACCCCACTGATCCACACTGGTCGTCCCTGATGAATGGCCCATTGTGGGGGCAGTCCCCGCCACGCAGAGGGGAAAATTCCAAGCAGAGTGTTTTCTTTCCCCCTTAAAAAAAAAGTCACATCGCACAATGCCTTCACTCTGACATTAAATGCCTCGCTGTTACAAGGAACAAAACCGGATCCCCTTCGTGTCCGGAAAGATAACTGACATGGCTCATGCTTGTTCCTCGAAGGATCCAGGGGATCGCGACTTGACCCTGCTGGCGGTCACGCATCTGATACAGACTCTTACGCCACATTAGTTGTTGAGCAAAAAGGAAAGAAATTAAGTCTCAGTGTCATCTTCATGGCTAACTGCAGCCCCCAGGGAACACTGTTATTCTGGACCAAGGGGCACTTGTCTCTCAGGCCAGGATAAACAAGCGGGGCACGCACAGACGGTTCTTTTCCCACCCCTCTGCTCCCATAGCTCTGGAGCCACCTTAGGAAAACAGTGAGTGTCATTTCATACCTGACGGAGTCAGACAGTCCTGGTTCCAGCCCTGGCTGCGGCCCAGCCGTCACCTAGTCTGGTGATCTTAGACAAGCCTCCACACGGTGTCTGCAAGCCTGGCAGGGCCTTTGTGCAAATGAGGGAAAGGTGTCCCTGTGAGCAAGAAGCAGCGCCGCCAACCCGGGGCTCAGCAAGCGGAAGCCCCGCCGGACCCCAGCCGCTGCGCCCCTCGTCTAGCGCCCTCCAGCAGGGCGCAGCCTCACAGCCTTCACAGGACCCTGTGTCTCTGTTTCAACTTGTCAGCTGTGAAGCGGGACAGATAATAATTCTCTGCACACTGATGAGGCTGAAATGACATCCCAAACAGTTTATGAATCAACCCGTTAATGAGACGCCTGCTGTTCTGGTTCGATCCCACCTCACTCCCTGAGCCTTCCATAATACTTCTCATGAAAAGCAAGGATACTGTTTACCCCTCCGAGATGACAGAGACCCACCCCCTCCAGACTTTGATTGAAAAGCAGGGTGGGCTTCAGACGCGTGAAGCCTCTTCAGTCGCACAGGGCCCCAAGCTCAGAAGGGCCTCGCATCTTCATTCAAGGCTCTGAAGTCACCATCTTAAAATTCTTAATCATTTCTGAACAAGGAGCCCTACGTTCCATTTTGCACTAGGCCCCACAGATTATGTCACCGGTCCTGCCGACAAGTCTTGAGAAGCACCAGATAGTTTTCTTATGTCATATCCACAGAAGATTTGGAAAGCAAAGAGGGAAGTGTCGCTGTTCTGCTGAACACGAAGGCCCCCGTCATAGCGTGTGAGGCCGGGTGATGCACCAGGCCCAAAAACATTGGCTTAGGAGGCACGTGGAGCTGGGAGCAACGCTGCATCCCGCAAGACCTCAGACAAGCTCCCTAACCTGTCTGAACCCAGCTCTCCTCATCTGTAAAGCAAGCTACTAGCGGCTACTCTCCCCTGTTCATAATAAAGAAAGGTCTGTAAATGAAGAAACTGTCTGGTACTTGGCAGGGGGTCAAAAAAGGGAAGGTCCCCTCCTGACATGTTGTGCCAATAGATTCTCCAAGGTGGGCCATGCACTTACAATCCAAAAGGCAGTGGGGGATGGGTGGCCCTGAAGATCCTCATGGCTCAAGGGTTACACGATTGTCCATGAACCAAGGCCTAGAAGCCAGCGCCCCTCGAGTCCACAGATATCAGTCAGGACACATCTGACTGTGAGGGCAGAAACCCAGCGCATGGTAACCTAAGACGGCGATTGTCAACCAGCATGACGCAAGAAGTTTTAAAACCTGCAGTATCTGACTAGTCAAGGGCACTGACCTCTTTTCCCTTAGACTGTCAAATAAAAAAAAATGACAACAGCCAACACAAGAATAGCCATGCACTGTGAATGAATCCAAATTATACCTATTTTGTTGTCAGATGAGCAAAAAGTATTTTTGGTGTGCGACAGAATTTTAGTAATTCGCGTATGTATACCGTGAGATGAAAAAGGTTCAATCGCTGATTGAAGGGAAAGTGACGGTTTGTTAGTTAATAAAACTGGGAAGTACAAGGCTATGCAGACAGTGCTGTGTCTGAGGATTTATACAATGCTACTCAATCTCTTTCTCTCTCTCTCTCTCCCTCTCCCTCCGTATTTTTATACATGGCGGCCAGCAGCCCGAGACCCACACTCTCTAGTTTAGCAAACCCAGTGGGGACAGACATATCTCTCTCTCAATATTAATATATCAACCAAGGGAAAAACTCGAATTGATCCTGCTTGGATGACATCCCCACACCTGAACCAGTCACAGTTGCCAGAGTGACAGGGCTTGTGCCACTCAGAGGCAGAACAAGGGGGCTCAAGCCTCATGACTGACAGACCCAGTGAGAGCCTGTGAAATTCAGATGCCAGGCAAACAAATGCAGCGTGGCCACTGTGTCTTCTGCGGTGAACCATGTCTTCCCAAAAGGAGCCAAAGGAAATGAAGGGAAGTGGGGGGAAATCGGGCGGTTCAGGCAGAGCACTCAACTGTCCTTCACCGAAGGGTGGGAAATAGGTGACACACCTCATCAAAGAGAGTCTCTGTGCGGAAAGACAAAGCCCTGAGAAAACACAGGGTGTGCCCAAAGCTCCTAGTTGCACAACTGCAATTAATCTCGCATCTTTAAATTTTCTACAGTGATGCAATTATTTTCATGTTTACCTTTCATTTAGGCAACCTATTCTGGTTTTCCATTTTAGTGCTAATACAAAGTTTCCTTTTTAAAATAACTTTAAGTAAAAACAAAGTAGGTAAGTTGAAATAAAAACAGTAAGTAAATAATACGATAGGCTTAAATAGCTGTGGACAAATCGGTGCGCGTATTATGCCAATGACTGAAGTATAACAGACATTAGCTTCGAACATAAGCAGAACTTTATTTTGCCAAGGAGCACTAAAAACCAATAAGTATGCTATTGCTGGTCTACATGGTATCTCTGGCAAACTAAAAATTATGCCTCTCATTGTGTGAATGGCAAAGCTTTAGCCCAGGTCACCAAGCGGATCTGTAATAAGATCCCTCAGCTTCTGGGTGGCAACAGCTATTTCCTAGACATGCCCGTGTCTCATAGCAAAAGGGAGAACCAGCACCGTAGGACATTGGCCCACTGTATTACTCTGTGTTTCAGAGAGAGTCACACAAAGGTGGGGTTGATATAAATATCGCTCATCCCAGAGTTGGCCAGGCTGATTGTCTTTGAGAACAGAGGGGCCATTCTACATGGCCATCCGAGGCCAGCTGGCTCCAAGAAGTACCAGCCATCTCTCTGGGGCCAGAGCGTCCCCAGCTGATTTCCACACGTACCCATGTGTAAAGTGGCAGCTGGTCCCGCATTTGAATACCTGCTTTGTCTTCCAATTAGCTACCAATTTCAGCCCATTATTATATACTCACCTGTTCAATTATTTTCTCCAGGCCAAAGCAAGAGGTCATCAGCACTTTGACGTGCATCAAGATGTCAAAAAGCTGAACAAAGCCTGCAAAGGAATGGGTATGAAAGATATTTTGTTTGCTAATTTACTTTTGAAGTTGATTAAATTTGACCTCATGTCCAGCTTTCCCATGATCTTAGGAAAATGTCTTCCTGGTTAACTTGCGTCTTCCAGCCTAACCCAAGTGGATTACTTCTCAGGTTCTCTTTATAAAAGAGCCCAAAGTTATAATCAGATCCTATCGCTTTTCAGGATTCAATATAATAGTTAGAAATTAGATAGCACGACATTTAATTTGACCTGGAGGTGGAAGAAACTTCATGGGAGGCACACTTCATGGAAGCCTAGTGTCATCTAAACCCCTCTGAGCCCTTTAATGGGAGGCGGTGGGAATCAGGTCTGATAAGAGCTGGATTTGGGATCTGGTGCCTGCTTCTGTAAGTAGATCACATGAACATAAGATTGTGGCCAAGGTCAAGAATCAAGGGTCAAACTGGAGAAGCTCTTTATGTCCAGGCCTAAGGGTAAGTGCCTGGCCAAGAATAGGAGACTAAGCAACAGATCAGAGTAGGTAACCCCAGTAAAGAGGCGGGATGAGGGAGAAAGCATCTAGGAATGAGGGTATGAAGAGAGACTCGGACCCAAGGAGATCACTGATGAAATAAGTTTCCCATCCCAGAAGCCTGGGTTCTAGTCTATTCACAGCCTTGTGTAACCATCACTACTAATTCCAAAACACTTTCATCATCCCCAAAAGAAACTCCACATCCATTGGCAGCCACTCCCCAAGTCCGCCCCTCACCCTCTCCGCTCCTTCAGGCACAGACCATCACTAATCTACTTTCTGTGTCTATGGGTTTGCCTAGTCTGGACATTTCATGTAAATGGAATCATACACTATATGACCTTTTGTGTCTGGCTTTTTTCACTTGGCATAATGTTTTTGTGAGAACAAGTGCTAGATTTTTACTTAGGAGTAAATTAGTGCAGACTTGCTTTCCTAGGAATGGACATTGTGGTAAAATAAACATGGCCATAAAACCTTTCTGTGACTTCAGAGGAAAAAAACTGAGATCCATGGTGGCAGTTCTAAGAAGACACATTTTGCCTAATATAAGGAACCATCTAAATACAGAATAGTCTGCCAAGGCCCAAGAAATGTGGGAGAAGTCCCAAGGGAGCTGGGGTTGGAGGAGGTCTGGACGGGAAGTGATAGAAGGGATTTCTACATAGTAAGTATCCTTAAATAAGTCACAGAAAGGCGGGGTTTGGGGGAGGACATACGGGAAATGAAGGGTGACAACTAGGCTGCTTGGTTTGGGGGCGTCAGAGGAAAGCTCAGCACAGAGTAGTTGCCCCTTGTTTCCATCCAGACCTGGCTAATCTTGTGTCTGAATGACAAGCGTCGGAGACATGTTTGCCTGGAAGGGTCAGGCTTTTTATAGTTCTGAGCTCTGCAGAGCGGCTGAGCCGGCCTCACAGGTGCCTCCCTGCTGCCTCCTGAGTGAGCTCCTAGCACCTGGATGTGGGTTGGAGCCGAGAGCGAAAGTGGGTGTGGGCATGACTGAACTGCGGTTACAGATAAACCCCTACGTTCTCAGCCCACCACGCGAGTTTAGCTCAGTAAGCACACCTGGGGCGCCTGCTGAATGGCAAAGTCATGCAGTGTTCTCTCCCCACTTTCAGTTGTGGCCACAAGGCGAGACCACTCTTGTATTGGTCACTGTTGTACAGCACCTCCTCTGTGCTGAGTGCCAAGCTGAGTACTGCATGCGCATCAGCTTGTATAAGCCTCCCAACGGTCCCTGTAAATTTGTATTATAAGGACATAACAGATGAGAATGCTGAGGCTCAGAGGTTAAATATCTTGGCCAAAGCCAAGGAGTTATGACATGAAGTGGGTGATCAGAAACTAGGGCCATCTTGGGGAGCTGTTATTTGGTTGAACGTCTAGCATTCCATCCTCTACTAAGAAGTGCAAGCCAAAGCAAAATTGCATTATTGGCAAAAATTGTCAGCAGACCATGCACCCACCTCGTTGATATACCATCCCTCCCTGGGCTGGATTTAAACGTCCAGGGCCATATGTCCAACAACCACAAAGGTAAGCGGCATGGTTCATTTAAAAAGTTTGAGATGTCAAATTTTAGAAGGAAAAAAAAAAGCAGGTGAAGTTAATTTGAATATATACTTTAGTTAACTGGATACTGTGCCAAAAATATCATTTCAACCATCAATATAAAAATTTTAATGAGATATTAGACATCCTTTTTTTTCTACATTTTCTTCAATGTGATATGTATTCTACACTTAGAGAACATTTCAATTTGGACCAGCCACACTTCAAGTCCTCGACAGCCATGTGCACCCACTGTATGGAGTAGAGGTGGGTCTAGAGGCCCCAGGCATCCAAAAGATTATGTGCGCTTTCTACCCACTCACCCATCTGTGCTATCCAAAGTAATAAGCATGCTATTCCACAAAACGATATTTAATTGTTCTGAATAGCAACATGAAACTTAGAGATTTCTTTCCTGTTTATTTGATGCCCCTTCTTCCTTTCCTAAGTGGTCGTTGGTCTGGATCTTGGTTAACTGCTCCCCCCACAGCCCTCTACCTCCCGCCAAGGCCGATGCTCTTTGTCAGGGCTTCCTCTGGGCCCCTCTGCTGCCCTGCCCCGGCAGGGCCCTCCTGAAGTGAAGGCCTTAACCTGGACCATGTATGGACCCCAGCGCCCATTATCCCTTCTGAAGTGTAAGAGGCTATTTGTCATTCTCCCTCCCAGAAAGGCAGGAAAGCCTGCCTGGAAGTGATCTCGTCCCCAGCTTCTCAATCCTTAATGTGCAGCTAAGCTATTGTTAATAGGCGGGTTCCGATTGGGTGGTTCTGAGTGGTTTCTGAGATTGTCCCAAGAAGTTCCTCAGAGGGAGGTACTGAGGATAAGACTGCAGCACGTAGCCCAACACCTCAATGCCCCTCACTATATGCTCATCTTCTCCTTTTGAACAATATGCTTAGATCCAAAATCTACACAAAGCCAAATTGGATCAGTTTGAGCAGTGACTAGGCCCACCCTTGAGTGGTCTTTATTTTCTATTGCTGAGGGTGCACCAAGTTGAATGGCCCTCCATTCTCCCCCAAAAATATGTCCCCTAGAATCTGCAACATGACCTTATTTGGGAAAAGGGTCCTTACAGATGTAATTAACGATTCTGAGATGAGATCATCCTGCATTACCTGGGTGGGCCCTAAGTCCTCTGACAAATGTCCTAATAAGAGACAGAAGAGAAGACACACAGAAAGGAGGCCATGTGAAGACAGGCAGAGATTGCGTTGTTTGAGAAAATCAGGCTCTGCCATGGGGTCACGAGGACAGCATCCCAAGGACCCACGCACAGAGGACTGTATGTGGCAAGATGGTTTATTTGTGTAGAAAGCTGCCCCTGGGTTTCCATGTTCCCATGTTTCTCCATCCCACCATGGGAAAAGTCCAACCTTGCCTTCAGCGAGGCCAAAGCAAAGGCCAGTGTCCAAAGTTTCTTCTCCATATTAAAGCTTAGTCCTTCCGAGTCTATGCTGCCTGTTGTGGACCCAGTAGCTGCTAGACCCACATGGTAGCGTGTGCCTGCATGAACACATGGGTGAATGAGGGTGAGAGAGAGAGAGAGCGCGCACACACTCCTTTGTTCCCCTGGGATTATATTAGCTTGGGTTTGGGACAGTACTCAATTGCTTTTTCAAAAGAACCAATCAACTTCCCAAGCTTTCATGATTTTTGATCCATCCACCCCCTAGCCAATCCACTGTTTCCCAGGCTAGGCTGACAGGCCTCTATGGTTGAGCATCTCCCTCTGAGCCATTTTGACTTCTATTGTGCATGTGCCTACCTCCCCCACCCCACAATCCTGTCCCGCAGAGGGGAAGGGAGGAGTGTTAATCCCCTTGGCAGAGCCATGCTGTGATCCCCTGGGGTGTGAAGCTGTGGCTTCCTGGTGAAGCAAACAGGCTTATGGGCTCCAGTTTATTAAGCTCAAAGTCTAATTCCCTTTGCTCTCCTTCCTTTATTAATAACCAGTTAACCACCTACAGTAGCAATTGAAGTGACACACAAACCGAGGACCACTGAGGGTTGCCAGCAGCCTCCAGAGCCTCTGGAGGGCATGTGGCCCTGCCACCAGCACGAGTTCAGACTTCCAGCCTCCAGAAGGGCGAGGGAAGAAACGGCTGCGGGTTTAAGCCCCTGCATCTGTGGAAATTAACACAGCCTCGGGAAACTAACATGGCGCACAAGTGGAAAATAATGACCCTCCCGGGCAGGCAAAATTCTCCTTCATTCATACCTTCATCAGTTTTCCCTGCCTCTCATTTCCAAAGGAGAAACTGCAGGACTGAAAAGCCCAGTGATGTGAACAGAAGAGACTGGCCCTCGGGCACCAAAGATGGGGCAGCAGCCCCCCCGGGCTCAGCAAGGAAGGCTGCGGTGGGCGTTGGGAGCATGTGGGAAGGCTGAGCCCCTGCCCCCTGGTTCTCTGCAGGGATCGCTCCTCTGGCGTGTGGGCCCCTGGTGTGAGGTGGAGGGCACTTCAACCCCAGTGACCCTCATCCTGCTGGACCTCCGCTCGGGATCTTCCCAGAAAATTGCTGGGAAGGCAAAGCCAGGAGGCTGTCCGGCCCTCCCGAGGCTGATGATCACCCCGTCCTGACCTCTGCTATGTAATTACTCGACAGTGTCCAATGCGCAGTCAGGGCTGAGGTTCCTTCGTGTCTCATAGTTTAAAAAGTCTTTCCCAGAACCTCTGGGGACTGGCCCTGGTGCCTGAAACCATTGTAAATGTTTACAGGAAATTGTTGGGCAGCCCAGACTGCTTATATGACACGCATATTGTGAAATGTAGGATGAGGTCACTGTTCAGTGCATCACTCCTTGGTTGGGTAGTGGGAATCGCTCCCAGGATGAACCGGAGAACTAGACTCAAAGGATTTAAGAAAAATCTATCATTTCCACACCTCCCCACACCTCTAGGCTGTTGCCGAGCCATCCCAGGTCCGCCTTGCTCTCTGGTCTCTCTTTTTAAAGTATTCCAGGAAGGGAGGTCTAGAAGACATTATTTTTTAAATATGAACTCAATTTTCCTGAATTATCCAGATATGGGTTGACTATGGCATCAGAATAGAGGGTTTCCTATTGGTCCCTGCTACATACAGCCCACCGGAGTAGCACAGGCACCTTACACCAAGGCATAGACAAGGTTTGGTCATAATGCTGCGCAAACTTCTCCATTCATTCATTCAATCATTCATTTATATATGCATGTATTTGAAAATTCATTCATTCAGCAAGTCATCTGATAAATACTGAGAGCCTTCCCTATGAATGCAGCAGTGAGCAGAACCCCCTGCTCCCATGGAACTTGCAGTGTGGCATGGCAGAGACGGGACAGGGAAGGAGAACGTGCCACGTGAGCCAGCGAGTTGAGTACTAAAGGAGGAGTAGGAGTGAACATGACTCACTGTCAAAGATAAAGATGTTCCAGGTAGAGGGGACAGCCCATGCAGAGACTCAGAGGTGAGAAAGAAAGTGTTCCAGCCCTGACTAATGGACTATGCTCAAGGGGTTGGGCATCACCCCCCAAACAGAAAGGGTGCTGGTTCGGTGCCCAGTCAGGGCACATGCCTGAGTTGCAGGCCAGGTCCCGACTGCAGATGTGTGAGAGGCAACCGATGGATGTTTTGATGGATGTTTCTCTCGCACACTGATGTTTCTCTCCCTCTCTTTCTCCCTCCCTTCCCCTCTTTCTAAAAATAAATTTTAAAAAAATTTTTTAAAAGAAAATATTCTAGGAGCTGAAAGTGGTTTATAGAATTGATGAAAGGGAGGCCTGGGTGTGGGTGAGTGGGGAGGAATAAGACTGAGAGGCACGTGGGAACCAATCCAAAAGGCTTCATATGCCCCACTAGAGACTTGAGACTTTACGTAAAGGGACCCGGACTGAAAGGCTTGAAGCAGAGGAGTGAGCAGCCTGGTCTGCTCATCAGAAAGGTCATTCCAGGGACAGTGACTGCAGAGCGGAAAGCGTGACAGTAAGGCAGGAAACCCGCGTGGGTATCATTAGCTCTGCTGAGCAACGGGACAGAGGCGAAGATGGAGAGAAATGGGGGGATCTGAAAGGTGACATAGTGAGCCCTCGGTGGTAACTAACTGGATGTGGGGTGAGCGAGAAGAGGAAGCCGGGGCGAGCCCCAGGTCCCTGTTTGCCGCAATGCAGTGACCGGGCCACCTGGGGGGCAGGAAGGCTCTCTAGGACTCACAGCAGCAGGGCCCAGGCCTGAGACGCAGGGGCCCCAGACCCAGGGGAGCCAGACCCAGGGGCCCCAGACCCAGGCGAGACCAGCACATATGGAAAGGAAGGGGCGGATTCAAGAGACTTTTATGAGAAAAGGAAATCCCTTTTGAGGTGAGATTTCTGGCACTCTGAAGCTAAAAAAAAAATAATGTCACAGAGGAAGTAACTGGATACACATTACGTAGGTGACACTGCAGGAGGAAATCAGAGGAGCAACATAAATAACGGCGCTGGAACGGAACCAGAATGAGGCAGGCTATTAACCCCAACTATTTTTACAAGTGAGCTCATCCTAGACTGTTCTGTGTCTCTAGTTGAAATCAAACAGCTAAATCTTCCCAGAGTTTTAAAGGCGGGACTAATCCTTAGGACTAAGCGAACAGTGTGTCACCGCGGTCGACTTAGATCGTTTTCATCACCTCGAAAAGGAACCTCCCCCTCTTTAGCTCTCAGACCCCTCCCCTCACCACCTCAGCCACAAGCCTACGTGCCGTCTCTATAGATTTTCCTATTCTGGACTTCCACTTGAATGGAATCACTTAACATGTGGTCTTCTGTGATCGGCTTCGTTCGCTTAGTACAGTGTTTTCAAGATTCACTCATTTTGTGGCAGGTATTGGTATTTCATTCCTTGTTCTGGCCAAATAATATCCCAGTGTATCAATATACCACATTTTGTTTACCCACTTGTCCACTGATGGACTTGCAGGCTGTTTCCACTTTTGGGCCACTATGGATGATGCTGCAATGAACATTCATGAACAACTTTTGCGCGGGCATTTGTTTTCATGTCTCTTGAGTATATACCTAGGGTTGAAATGAAGGAATAGCCATACTCCCTCCTCTCGCCACCACAATGCCTAGCGGTGTAAGGCTTCCACGGATATTTTGCAAGTGAAGGGAAAAAATACAGTTCTCCACAAGACATTAAAGCTAAAGGGCCCAGTGAGGTTCCACCGCGGGCTCTGACGGCCACCCCAGCTGCCTCAGACTTGACTAAGATAAATCTCCATCTCGTGTCTTGTTCACTCTTGCTTTGTTTCTTTCTCCCGCCCTTTAGGTACTGATGAAGGGACCATCATTGAAATCTTGTCAAGCAGGACCTCGAATGAGAGGCAACAAATAAAACAGAAGTACAAGGCAACGTATGGCAAGGTGATTCCAAGGTTCTTCATGGTCATGCACATACCTTGGCCTTGGCCTTGGCCTTGGCGGTCCCTGCTTCTTCTATGTGCCCTGCGTGGCGGAGAGCAGCCTTATCAGTAACTCAAGAGGAAAAGTGAAATAACTATTGAAAACTTTGACTTCAGAAAACTGAAATTGCCTTGTTAACGCAATAGCCTGTAAAGTCAGCATTCTTTAAATCATTACTTTCTTATTAATTGACTTCATTTTTATATTAATCCCACTGTCATTTTTTCCACTCTTTTGGACTAATTTCACATATTAACTTACAGATAGGCCAGTGATTTGACAATCCGTTTTCACAGGTGGGTCTTTATATAGGAATTCTCCATTTCTTTCAGCTCTCTTCAAGAATGATACATCCTTTATAATGGTGGTTACAAAAAACTTAAAAAAAACAACCTTTATTTCATTAAGCATCACCTTGTTACTTCATGTTTTTTTCTTTCATTTTTTTGTTGATGTTATATATTGAAATCTTTAAGTATGCATTAGGCTTTATATTTTTTTATTACTATGTAACGAACACGATTTAACCTTTTCTTAATGTCATTAGAATGATAAGTATGCAAACTGAATGTTAATGATTAGAATGTAGTCTAATCCATATTTATGAAAGCTTGACAGTTTCAACCATTCTATGTATAAAGAGACATAGAGATAGAAGTGGATTTTCTCACTTATTTGACATTGGGCAGGCAACCCTCTCTTTAGGCCTTGGTCTCCTCACATATAGAACGAATGGTAATTCACCTCCCTTCACAGGTTACTGGGAGAATCAAGCAGGATAAAGCCAGCACAGACCAGTTAGGGGAGCTATGCTAAGCCCGAATGTTTCCATTTTACACAGAAGAGTAGAGCTCATTCGTTTACATGACTTGTGCAAAATCACACACGAGGTGGGGAAAGAACCAGGCCTCCAACCCAGGACGCCAGGGCCAGTGCTCGCTCCTGGGGAACCCAGAGCCATGAGAGACACTATTTATTTGTGCACCACATGGCCCAGGCGGCTGTGCTTTCGTAGCCTCTCTGTGTCTCTCTTCACAATGAGGCTCGACAGTGTCATCCATTGAGGACACTAAGGAGAATAAGCAAATCTTCACTCGGCTGCGCGTTGTGGAATTTAATGACGCAGACCATTCATCTGCCCGCGTTGCCTCACCGGCTGTAGCAGCCCCTCCGGTGCCCTGTCTGTTTCCAACGCAGCGACAGGGAAAGTCAGACACAGGCTTCTCCCACTGTACTGTGAAATCCAAACAAATTGGTTCGAGGTGAGGGCCTCAGGGCTGTGTTAAATAAAGATAAAGTGGACACGCTCCAGCACAAAGTTTCGCAGTACTGACACCTGCCAATCGCGAGCTCGCTTTCCAGTTCTCAGCTGTCCCAGGCAGCAGCCGAGACGGCCAGACGGGTGATCTGGAATCACAGCAGCACGAAGCTAGACAACGTCCGAAATGAAAAAGTCTAAGTCCCTAGGCCCACTGAGCTCCAGAGAGAATACCCACCCCCAGGTGACAGTGCTAGTTAGCAGGAAAACCGGGATTACAGCCAAGGTATCCCGAGCTGGCTTCTGTGTTCAAGCAGAATGTAAACACACAGGGTTTCTTTTCATGCTGTGGCTTGTAAGAGGAGGTAGCTGGGCTGTCTTTTCTCTGCAGTTTTATGTAGAGTGGGACCCCCTCAGCTGCAGAAGACATGTTCAAAGACCTCAGAGGATGCCTGAAACTGTGGATGATACAGAACCCTCATATATATTATACCATTTTTCCTATACATACACATCTGTGATAAAGTTTAGTTCATAGCTGAGGCGCAGGAAGAGATTAACAACTAAAAATAACATAGAAAGAGTTATAAGAATATACTACTATAAAAGTTATGTGACTGTGGCATTGTAAGTAAAATAAGGGTGACTCAAACACAAGCCCTGTGGTACCGCAACAGTTGACCTGGTAATCCAGACAGCTACTGAGTGTCCCTTTCAGGACTTAATAAGAAAACCAGAGTGATGGTACTTCTGGTTTGCCTGAGAAGGTCCCTATTCATTCCTATTGTCCCCTGCAATTAGCAATAGTGTCCCCCTTTCACTCTCAAAAGCATTCCCATCTGGGTGACAAATAATCTGATCCCCCTAGAAATTACAAACCTGTATCTTGGTCCTTTCTGGCTGAATGTTTGGGGGCGCGTCCTTCATCTTTTCAAGACCAGTAAATGGAGAGAATGCCAATACTTTTCCTGCGAGGGCCATTTTGAGGAAGTTCTCTGAACCCCAAAACATTTTGCAAATGCTGCTTGTTGTGATTCACCTTCAGGGCCTCCAGGTGTGAGAGGGGGACCTGCTCTCTGTGCCCTGCCAGTCCTGGGGGTTCAGGGAGCTTTCTCTGCACTGACTTTCCATAGGGCTACAGCGGAAACACACATGGCCGGACAGTCAGGGTGAACGTTACCTCCAGAGCAGGTCACTTACGACTGCAGAGCCCCTGTTTCGATCACCCCCAGACATCCATGACAGGGTCTTGGGACCCCTGAGGCCATGCGGCGGGGACAGCAGACTCCTGCCTCTCTCCTCTCAGCCATTCCCAGTCAGGGCTTTTGATGTCTTCCTTTAGGACCTGGATGAGGTGCTCAAGAGTGAGCTGAGTGGGAATTTCAGGAAAGCAACCTTGGCCCTCCTGGACCACCCCAGCGAGTACGATGCCCGGCGGCTGCAGAAGGCCATGAAGGGTCTGGGCACGGATGAGGCGGTGCTCATCGAGGTCCTGTGCACAAGAACCAATCAGGTTAGTCCCAGCGCAACCCTTGGATCCAGCCCCCAGGAAGCATCCATACCCCCCGCAGAGATGGCTGCAGCAGCCAGAAGAGAAACTACCCCCGTCATTCCTCCCAGGGGTGAGCCAGTGTCTGGGCAGAAGTGTGTCCACTTGGCACATGCAGGACAGATGCCTCTTCCAATCCTCCGGCTGTCAGTCTTGGGGTTACTGCCACTGGCTTGACATAATAGATCCTTCCAGAAGAGCTGTACCAATGGGGCCTTTGTTCTTCTAAATGGGTGCAGCTTTATATGCAACAGGCAAGATTCCACGCTCCCCCTCCCAGCCTGACTCTGCTGGTCTCCTGAAATGAATAATGCGACAAGCAGGCCAAGCATGTGTGGGCGCCCCCTCGTCTGTGGCTCTCAGCTGGCGTGGAACACAGAAAAGACTGTAAGGAGGGAGGGAGACTGTGGGTGACACAGGGGGGCCCCGTGGCTGCCAGCACCTCTCCAGAGGTCTCTGTGTTCTTCGGTCTGCAGGCCTTTCCCCTGGTCTCTTAGGCACATGCCACATATCAGTAGCTGAAGAGAACATGTATTTGTTCAGGCCCCCAATGGAAGCCCATCCGTCTTTGGTTCCAGAAGCTGTGAGGGCCAAGGAAGCCATCAAGAGTAAAAAGGGTCTATGCCTCATTATCTGGGACCCCCCTCCCTCTTCCACAACCACCTATCACAGTAGGATGTGGAGGCCCAGCCAGAAAATGCCAGAAAACCCCAACACGCTTGAGGCCTCCAGGTGGGAAACAGGAGCAGCGGTTGGAGCAGGAAGCATCGGTGCTTTGCCACTAAAACGCTAGTTAGGCTTTTCGTGCCGACGACCTTGAGCTGGTTGGTTCTGCTCAGCCCGTGCTATCGAACCATATTTCCAGAAGTGCTGCCATGCTCCAAGGCACATCCGTCCACCGCTTTCTGGAGCTTGCCTGGACTCCTTTACCCCCGACAAGATTATAAAACCCTCCATTTCTGGGAGTTTCCACTTAGGAGTGTGCCTTAGAGGAGGGTTAGCAAAGGGTGGTGGCATCCGTTCAGTCCAATAGTCACCCAACTTTCCCTACTCAAGGTCCCACCCTTCCCAGAAGCACCGCAGTCTCTGCGAAGAGGCGCCCAAGATCAGGGCCATTGGCAGCCTGCCTTGGCGAGAAGGTTAATTTGATCATTATTTTTCTAATCCTATTTGACCCTATGCTGTTCCCTCTCAGCCTAGTTTCTTTCAGACCCTGGTCTCAAATAGCAGGCTAAGCCCTTTATTTTCAATCAAGTAGTTCTGCCAGTAGAAAGAAGAAAAGCAGAGAGAGCAGACTCGGGGTTCAGGCAGATCTTGGTAGTGGGCTGGAAGGTGGGGAAAGGGGAGGGAGCTGCTTAGATACAAGTGGTCACCCAGTGGCCCCCCATCCGCGTTTCCTCCCTCCCACCGAAGCACAGGAGCTAGGCTTCTCAGGCCTGTGGCCACCCCCACCTTCGCCCACGCCACGCACTGACTGTCATTTTAAACGGCCTGCAGGTGATCCTGTGGGGAAGCACCTGCTGTTACACACTGCTGGTTCAAGTGTAAACTGAGGCAGCTCCCGCGTGGACCGCCTGGCGCACCAGTCATTGAAATACAAAGCGATTGTTCCCAGGACACGCATGCAACAAACTGTTTACTGAATCAAGCCTTGTTTGAAATAGAGAAAAATTAGAAACAACTTAAATGCCCATCGATTGGAGGCTGGCTAAACAAACTGTGGTTTATTGTAGGACGGAACATTTTGTATCCATTTAAAAAACACTAGGTAACTAACTACGTTTAAGCATAGCTGGATCTCCAAGATGTATTATTGAGTGAAAAAAAAAAATAAGTCAAAGCAGAGTGTGTTCAGTATTCCACTTTTTAAATGCATACACAGAATGATTCCATGTATTTTCAGTAGCACGTATCTGTATACAAATACAAAGAGAAATATTAGCAAAGACATGCACTAAACTTCTAACACTGGCTGTCTGGTTGGGGTTGGCCATAAAATGCCATGAGGAGGTAATGAAAGAAGGTGTTAGCTGTCACATTTTCACCTGTAACAAGGGAGAATGAATGTCCATACACCTGACCTGTGTGGTTGGAAGTGTCTGCACGGAAGGGGTCCCCTCACAGCTCTAGGGACCTGCTCCAGGCGTCCGCCCTGGCCCACAGGATGGCCCCTTTGGAAGCATCCCGTGTCCAGAGACAGGCCCCTGAATAGCCCCTTTGTGTGTGTGTCTCTATCTTATTGATTAATCCATCTTGGCCTATGGATTTTATTACCTTTTCTAGGAAATCATCGCGATTAAAGAGGCCTACCAAAGGTGTAAGTAACCTTTTGTTCTGACTTCAGATAAAGAATGTCCCTTTCAAAATACCTCTGCGAAACTGAATCCTCTGCTTTCCCCTCTCCTTTCTTCTCCTTCAAAAGTATTCGACAGGAGCCTTGAATCAGATGTCAAAGATGATACAAGCGGAAACCTAAAAAAAATTCTGGTGTCCCTGCTGCAGGTAAGAGGGAAGAGGTCTCATGAGCTTTAGGATCTTGGGAAGAGCCCTTGGCAACGCGGCGCCATGACGAGAGAGGCCACGTCCATAGTAAACATTCCCTTCTCTTCTTAAAAATCTTACCAAGGGATCATCAACCCAGGCTCTATCAGATCAGCTCTTGTGAAACTACGCCGCTGGGATTCCTCCCACAACAGTAATTTGTCTAGTCATTTGCAGTTTACAGTCCCTTTTTGTTAGTGAGTTTTCTCCTTGGGCATCCTCACTGCGTTTGGCCAACGAGGGAAACGCCAGCCGAGAGAGGACAGGTGACCCGCCTGGGTTTATAGTAAGACACAGCCCGGGAGGCAGAGCCGGAGCAGCTGACCCCCAGCAGGGCCCTTTCCACAGCTCGACTCTGCGCCTACATCCAGGTTTCACCCCGCATCTCAGCCCGTAAGAACTTCTGCAGGGAGCTCGGCCAGGAGAGTGCGGCTTTCAGAGGTGGCCTTGCAAGGGCACCGCTCCTGGGCCTCCAGCCACACAGCATCTGTCTTCCCGTTGACACATCCACCTTATTAGCTTTGTGCGTTTCCTCTGTTTCTTTCCTCTCACTGTGGGTGGACTGACAGCAGAGAACATACAGAGTAGCCTTCAGCAGTAGCAGGAAGTGTACGTGTTCTGCTGTGTAACAAATTGCCACAAACTTCGCTACTCGACACAGATCCACGACCTCACGGTTTCTATCAGTCGGGAGTCCAGTCACAGGTTGGCTGAGTCCTTTGCTTGGGGTCTCATCAGGCTGAAGTCGAGGTGTCAGCCAGGGCCACCATTTCATCTGAGGACCTGGGTCCTCTTCCAAGCTCACTGGTAGTTGACAGCTTTCAGTTCCTGGTGGCTGATGTGACTGTTGTCCCTGCTAGCTGTCAACCAGAGACCCCTCCCCGCTCTGAGAGGCTATCTGCAGATAAACAGTTCAAAGCATGGCAAGTTGGTTTCTTCCGGGCCAGCAGGAGCTCATCTGTCTGACTTCTTCAGTCTTTGACCTTATAGGAACCTCACCTAATTGGGTCAGAGCCACCAGGATAATAGCGATTTTTATGAAGGCAACTGATGAAGGATCTTAATCACATCTGCACACATGCCCTTTGAATTGCAGGAGTGATACGTACTTCACGATAGTCACACATCCCACCCACACTTCTAGAGAAAGCGATTACCCAAGGCTGTGGGTCATTGGGGTCATCTCAGATGTCTCCCTGCCACAAAGGGCTCAGGCTAGACTTCAAGGCCTTCCGGGACCAACAGTCAGTGTTCTTCAGGACCTAACCGGTGAAATTTGATATTTTGGAAGGAGGACTATTAGCTTTCCACTTGACTGACTCTAGGGGCCATTGTGAGGTTGCTTTTGGCCTGTCTAAGAGGTCAGCGGGGTTTGTGAGTGACGTGATTGTCTACAAAAAAGAAAAAAACCAGTGTTGATACAAAACTACCTCTGTTTATTAATTGTGCCCGAAAGATGGCAGCAAAGAGCAGCCCTTTTGCAGGGCTGGATCTCCCTTGGGCCACCCTTCTGCAATCACCCAGTTTTTCAGGACTTCCTTTTTTTTGTCTTCTGTAGTCAGGCAGGAACTCAAGTTCATAACAATGTGTCGATTTTTCTAGGCTGATCGTGATGAAGGAGATGATGTGGACAAAGATCTATCTGGTCAGGATGCCAGAGATCTGTATGATGTAAGTGTGCGGACGTGCCAGTCTTGGCTACATCTTTTTAAATATTTATTAGCATTATTTTCAACAAGCGTTTCTTTATTTCATGCAAATGGGAGTTACTCAGGAAATATTTATGATCTTTAACATATTTCTCATATGTATAGTCTTCATGAAACTGAAAGAATCATTCCTGTTTTTATACTCTGGGGTTAACCACCTGAAATCCACCTTGTAATTAGGAAGGGTAGAAATAATATAAATCAGTATGTGATGTGTACACATGGTTGAGAAGTTCAAAGTGTTCAGTCAATCAATTTGGCTTCTATTCAGTGCATATTTTATAATTTCCTGTACATGAGGTCTGGTCTCAACACTGTTTATTCAGTCTTTTTAAAAAAGCCTTTACAAAATGTTTATATCTGACCCACAAGGCAGGGGAAGGCTGCTGGGGCACCGATGAACTTGCCTTCAACGAAGTCCTAGCCAAGAGGAACTACAAGCAGTTACGAGCTACCTTTCAAGCCTACCAAATAGTGAGTAATCCACTACCAGGGTGAGGAGCTCACACTGAAACTGAATCCTAAGCTTTTTCCAAAAGAAGCCATGATCTGGGGTATGGAGGCAGGGGTAAAGGGGGGGTTGTTGTTTTACAACAGCGTTTCTCAATCAGGGGTCTTTTGCCCCCCAAAGGATATGTGATAATGTCTGGAAACATTCAGGGTTGTCACACTGTGTGCTACTGGCATCTAGTGGGTCGAGGCCAGGGTTCTGCTAGACGTCTTAGAGTACACAGGAGAGTCCCCACAACAAAGAATCGTTCGGCTGCAAATGTAGTGCCAAGGCTGGGAAACACCGCTTTATAACAGAGGCTAGGAAAGCAGACAGGTGTCAAGTTCAGGAGCAAAGCCCCAGAATGGAAGCATCGTGGTTCTACCCCTGGCAAGTGACCTAACCTCTCCATCCTCTTTTGTGAAACAGGAGCCATGATCATCACCATTACACCCTCAGAGGGTTATTTTAGGAGCTAAATACGTTAAACATAAAAGGCTCAGGACAGTACCTGGTATGCGGTAAGCATACAAATGTTCGCTATTGTTATCATTCTAATTTACGGTGCTTACCCCTCCCCAGATGGATGTGATATACCTCAGAGATATGCTCCTGAAAAGACGTGTATAGATTACTTTTATACAATCATTTAAAAAAAAATCTAATGATAACTGTAAGACAACAACGTGAGTCAGCTATTTCCAGGCACTTAATGGTGAGTCCTTCCCTGAAAATCAGCCTTTCATTACAAGAAGTCTTTTAGGGAGTATCAGATTTTTTATTTTTCTATATATATTTTTTTGGTCTCCTATTTTATATTTGTAGAGGGCTTTTAACTATTCAAAGCACTTCTGTGCCCCGTATCTCATTTCAATTTCACAACAATGCCGCAACTATAATGTAGGCTGAACAGCCATTGTTACCCACAACTGCCGGACAAAGAAAGTCTGTTGTGAGTAAGGAGCCATCTGCAACTTATCAGGACCACACAGCAAGTCGGTAGCAGAAAGTGGAAGAGAACTCCAAGATTCCCCAGCCTGAGCTCCTACCTCGGCCGGAGTTGGCCGCTCCTCACTCAAAATAGTGTTTCCTATGTGTTGCCAGCAGATGAAAAGACAATAAAGCTTTGGAATTTTATCATCACTGTCTATATAAGCCTTGAAGGCCCTCTGCTTTCAAATCGTGCCCAGAGTCATGATCAAAGGCAGCTGACCCTGCACTGCCCAGGCCTCTGCCTGGAGCTGTGTAGACAGAACTGAAAAACTTCTCTATGACCTGGACCTTCTAGGGGCTGCGAGTGGAGGCTCTGAGGATGGCTGTCCTTGCTGAAGACTAAAAATACACATACGCACATACATATGAGTGTGTTTGTGTGTGCACGCGTGCACATGCGCGCATGAACTAGTGACTACCTGACCCCGGGGTGCCCATCCTTTTGGCATCTACAGGCCACGCTGGAAGAAGAGCTGTCTTGAGTCACACATTAAATACACCAACACTAATGAAAACTGATGAGCAAAAAACAAAAAACAAAAAAAAAAACCCAGAGGTTTTAAGTAAATTTATGATTTTTGTGTCGGGCTGCACTCATAGCCATCCTGGGCCACGTGCAGCCCGCAGGCGGCAAGTTGGAAACCCTTGTGACTCATCGTTCTCAAAATCAATCCTGAAACAGCAGCACCAACATCCCCTGGAGAACTTGTTAAAAATGAGACTTCTCAGTCCCCACCCTGGACCTACCGAGTCAGATTCTCTGGGGTTGGGGACCTATGGTCTGTGTTTTAACAAATTTCCAGATCCTGATGCAGGTTAAAGTTTAGGAAGTCTGCTCTATGCTATGAGCTGTATGACCTGGAGCAAGTTATTAAGGGTTCTGTGCCTCAGTTTCCTCAACTGTAAACTAGGGATAATAGTAGTACCCACTTCACTGGGTTAGTAAGAGTTAAACGAATTAACGCAAGTAAAGCACTGAGTCTCTAGCATTGGGTCACTGGAGCATGTGATGTGGCACAGGAACCCCGGCATAGATGCGAATTGCAATTTTGGCACAAAAACTCGGGGTTTTGCCCTGTGGCTGCCCTCTAAGACTGCGCCTTAAGTACTGATGCTCTCAGAAATCCCAGCCTAAGCAACAGAGGTTTCCCAACTCTGCTGCATCATGCCCCCCAGTCTACTAAATAGGAAAGGCATAGAGTCATAAAACCAAGGTAAGTTCTCCAAAGAGGGCTCGTTATAAATTGCAGGTTCACATACCCACAGCCCAGGCTCACTGCCTCCCCGTCACGCCTCACCATTTCTGCCCACCCCTGTAAGTGTTCCCAAGCCCATTCCAGAGCCCTCAGCCTTTTCATTGCTGTAGCCAAAGCCAGTGTATGGGGTTCTGCAATGGGCACACTGTTAATTGGGGGGAATTGGTTTTAGTCCCCTATTTTTCTAGTAATCTCCCTACCTGGTTAAGTAGAAGCTTTTGAGGCTTGTCTGAAATTCACCCTAGCAATGTGCTTTTTGTATCGAGATCAGAAAGCCTGGTTCTGTCCGAGAGCCTCCTAAGAATTAAGTATTCCAGGAAGTGAAAAGCGTGCCATTTGCAAAGGAGACTCACAGTTAATTGGAGCCAATCAATTGATTTTCATTTGTGTTCCATGGAGCCCTGGAGGTGCCTTAGTAGCTACCTAGAGGGGGATGGGGCAGAAGGTAGGTAGAGGAGAGCAATGCCTTCTCATTGTATTGGGTGAATAGCGCCCCTTGAAGTTGTGCAAAGAAGAGATCCTGCCAGGGCAGAAAGCCAGCATGGCTGCCTCAGCTAGCACAAGGAGCCCAGCTGCTGCCTCGCCGGGACATCTCTGCTTCTCTGCTTTTAGCTGCTGTGTAGGCTAAACTGCTACAGAAAATTGAAAAGCACTGTCTGGCCCAGCCTTAACAATAGAAACAGGATTTTAATGTAAGGAATTTTTTTGGTAAACACAGAACATGAATACAATGTTCTCTTGAAGTGCCATCTCAGTCTGCAGAAAGAGTGCCCTATTAATGGGAAAGTGATACCAGTCCCTTCTGCAATACCAGCTCCCATATCAAACCCCCAAAAGGCCGGGAACAGCTAAGGAAAGCACAGGACTGGAGCCCCCCAGACCGTTCTGCTTCTAATCCTTTACCCACACCAGGCCCCTGGGTGTGCAGCCCATGATGAGATGAAGCAACAGGCTTCATGAGATCTGGACCCTCCTCCCCCACATCTGTTGTGCTTGCACCACAAAGAATATTTTGTTTACCTTTGTTTTCAGAATAAAGTGCATAAATTCCACTAGCGTGTCTTCAAGGGCTCCAGCCATGTATAGAACCACAATTGTGTCATATCCTGTAAAGATAATTTCTAAGAAAGATGTCTCAATATTTCTAATGCTTAGACACTTTTCCCAAACCCGACAAAAAGTTCTCCTTTCTCTTTATTTGCTCTTTCTGAGTGTGGCCCAGGCAGTACTTGTGCTAAGACTAGTCATACTTTATTCTGAACTTCGGCTTCTATAAATATTTGGAAAGAAACCTAATGTGTTTCTTTCCTGTGCAGAGTGCTCTGCGAACTAGTGGTGAGTATAGGATCATTTGAAATCACCCCAGAATGAAGGCAAGTGGCATTTTGATGCGGTCAGCCCCCGGCTTCTAGCCCATGCAGGCCCCTCATCAGAAACGTGAGACCGAGTTCTTGCCATGAACTTCACAGCCTCTACTTATTTCACCCGAACTGTAGGAGACAGAGTCCCCATTCCTGGGACAAAGATGACAAGGAAGTTGTGGGTAAGATTATTGCAACCGCAGCCTCCTATAAAATTAGAAGTGGAAAGAATTTTTAAAACACATAGGAAACTCAGTATTATATATAAATGTAAAGAATTATTGATAGAGCCTAAGTTAATTGTTCTTCCATTCCCTGGTTTTACCGAGGAGGAAACTGAGGCTCAGGTTGTGGTCCTGACTGGGATCAAATCCATTAGGGGTCAAATCTGGATGAACTCCTCAGCCATGAGAGCCCCCATGCAAATGGGGGGCAACCCCCTTCAGCCCTGCAAGCCAGGAGGCCAGACAGGAGTTCCTTAAGGCCACATGACCAAATCAGGGAGAGCTGAGTGCTTTTTTTCCTTAAAATAAGATTGACTTATTTATTTTTAGAGAGAGAGAAAGGGAGGGAGAAAGAGAGGGAGAGAAACATCGATCAATTGCCTCTCATATGTGTCCCGACCGGGGACTGAACCTGCAACCCAGGCAATGTGCCCTTACCAGGAATCGAACGCAGAAACTTTCGCTTTGTGGGATGACACCCAACCCACTGAGCCACACCAGTCAGGGCAAGTTTAGTGCTCTTTGTGGGGGAAGAACCCCAAGTGCACCAAAAACAAAACCTGGACTAACAGCCAGACTTTGTCTCTCCAGCTCATGGGTAAAGACATCGAAGAGGCCATCGAAGCAGAAACCTCGGGAGACCTGCAGAAGGCCTACATAACTCTCGGTAAAGTAGAGCTAGGGGGTCCCTGGCTGAGGTCGGGCTGCCTGGAGACAGACTCAGAGACGGAGGTTTCTGTGCAGAAAGCTTTCACAGAACAGTTTTGGGAACAACACATCCAAGCAGCATTGGGCAAGGGAGAGAGTGAACGCGAAGCAATTGCAATAGCGGCCTTGCTGCTCCCCAGGGGGTCCTGTGGCCCAATGTCCACAGTGCACAAGGGGGCCAGGTCTTTGCACCCATGTCAAGCAGCCGGCTGGTTGCAACCCAGGGGCATTTGCAACCTTGGGTAAGGCTGTTCCCTCCTCGGAGGACAATTCCTGGGATGGGACTCCGCTGTGAGCAGCCAGCAGACAGTACTTGGACTTTGTCCTGAAGAGGTCATCTGAGGTACACACCATGGCATTCATGACAATCCCATTGAGACGACAGGTCCCTGAGAGCACCTGTCAACAGCCTGGGACCACTGTCCAGTCTCAGGGAGCAGTATGTACCTCATACGACACGCACTCAAAAGTACCCAGGCTCTGGATTCATGAACAAGTTTCTGCACATGCCTAATGGCTCGAGGGTATCTTTTTCCGTTTGGTTCCCTTCAACATTTAGAATGAATGAGGTCTGTTCAGAAAGCGATGGGAGGGAGACCAGATCCCCATGGTGCCAAGCCAGCACTGGGGTCTTCTCTCCAGATGTAGCCCAGGGGCAGGAAATAGCAGAGAGACAGGTGGGCCTGGGGCTGTGTCTGGCAGGCCTCCTTTTGGTTTTTGCAAGCCCTGGAAGGAAGGCACCGTCCCTGGCACCATCCCAAATGGCACAAAACATGGAGAGGTGCCTCCCCAGGAGGCAAGGAAGAACCGAAAAAGCAGCCCTGGAAGTTAAAAAATGTGCTCTAACTGCCAAGCCTTCTCTTTTCTTTCTTTCTTCCTTTCTTTCTTTTTTCTTTCTTTTTTTTGTTTTGAACAATGTCAGTAATTGATTTTTTAAAAACTCCATCCTCATCTTGCATTGAAATTAGCAGGGCTTCTATTGTAAAATCCCTGCCCCACACTGAATGAAGGCACATGGCCAACCACCCGTAGGGCCTGAAGAACGAGGGTCTTAGGTAAATGATCTACTCACAGCCCAGCCCGGAGGCTCCAAGCCCTTCCTGTGCCTTCAGCGCAGAGAATCAGGAGAACACTTGGGTTCAGTCAAGAGTAATATTAATCTTTATTAATATTAATTATTAATGATAATGAAATCATTCTTAATATTAATGCTAATAAAACCACTTAATTTTTTAACATTTACTTAGCACACGTGCCTGGGCCAGGGACCATGCTGGGCGTGGGATCAGAGGTACAAAGGTGCAACTTTTGCTCTTGAGAAACTTAAAGCCTACGGCAGATGCCCACAATTAACAGAGTAGGCTACAGAAATGATAAAAACAAAAACAGCCAGAGCACGGAGGGTCCAGAGGAAGGGGAGGCTCAGTCCCTGAAGTTGGGGACCACGAACTGCAGGACTTAGCTGCACTCCGGTGGTAGCAAACATACAAGCAATTAGAAAAGACCTTGAGAATAAACCACACAGATAGCAGGCGTGACTTCATGGCTACATTTTCTAGACAGCCCCCCACCCCCATACTCCCACCTAACTCGTCAAGATTCCACGTTATGGCTACAATCAAGGAGGAGGGGCTAGGAGACCAAATAACCGCCACCACTGGCAACTTCTGGAACGACACTTCTCAAAGTGGGGTCCCCGAGCCCCTGCATTGGAAATCGCCCGTGCGGAGGCGTGTAAAACACAGTTTCCTGAGCCCTACAGCAGGCTACCCTCTCAGAAGCTCCAGGAACAGAGGCTGGAAGCCACCCTTGGACAGGACCCCCAAGGGGTTGCCTCATGCTGACTGGAGCTGGAGAACCCCTGCTGCTCTGGAGCAAGGAGGAGCAGGAGACAGAGGCACAGCAGCCGGCAGCCTGGCCCTGCGCGCGCCACCTTTGTTCCCACATCTTCCTGAGCAAGCCCCCTACAGACGTCTGAGGGAGCCCCGCCGCCGCTCAGGACAGAGGGTGTTCACCAGGCATAGCTTGTATACAGAAGAAAAGCTGAGGATTTTCTCCCTAACCTATCGGAGAAAAGCAGTGCTGGGGGAGAAGACACCTATGTAGGTGTGGAGCACACCGCTGCTAGGCAGACAGGCACCTCAGCATCGGCTGGCACCGCACAGGAGGGGGTCCTCAGGAAGGCGTGGTGAGGCCACTAGCTCAGAAGGCCTGGGGGTCACAGTGAGCCCCAAATATGCAGCTCCCTAAACGGACAGGTTCCCCCCACAACTACCACCCATCCAGCAGCTCTTGAACTGTCCTCGGCTAGAGGGGTCAGACACCTGGGTCTGGGTTTTTCCTTCCCATGGACGCTCAGATGGCTGACACATGTCCTCCAAAAAAAAGACCTCCAGCGGAGACTCTGCTTCCCTACTCCTAGTCTTCTCCCTTCCTCGTAAGCACGTGCCATGGGGACAGTTACCTAGAAAACAGGAATTCCCACTAAGAACATATTAAGCCTGTGCATTATATGCTTATGCTGAAGTTATCCTTCGTTATTAATCACCAGCATCAAAAATGGGAAGCATTGTAGGTAAATGTTAACCTAAAGAGTAAATGGTACATTTTCCCCAAAGTGTTAGTCAGTATGGACCCCTACGAGGCTGGGAGGAGGGAAGAGAAGAATGATCGATCCCCCTGAGATGCACCCTGTCTCCTGCGCGGTGAGCCAAAAGCATGCTTCATTAATTTGAGGATCAAATCAAAGCTGGCAGGCAGGGGAGGGCCAGAAAAGAGCAACTGGCCGCCTCCCATGGAGGTGACCTGTCGGCCGGTCAAGCCTTTCTTCAAGCTCACATCCCAGATCGCAAACAAAGAGGTCAGTGGGGAACTGGGAAAAGATCCAGAGAAGAGACTCGCAGAACAAACCCAGCAAGGAAAAGCAAAGGGAAGGAAGGCTGTCTAGCGCGGGAAAGCAGGCCGCAGGCCAGCCGAGGGAGCCTCCAAGATGGTGAGGTTTGCGTACAGCAAGGATGTTGGCCCATCTGTTTCCTCCCTGGACCCGACTCCAGCATCAGAGATTTCATTTAGATAAGACAAGTTATTTCTGCTGGCAGGAAGCAGGAGCTTGAGGGAAAGAGCCTGAGTGTCCCAGGTGCAGGGGCCAAGCATCCCGCTCCCTCCAAAGGGTCTCCAGGGAACAGGAGGGGTTCTGACAGGTGGAGAGGGGTTTTGACTCAGTTCTGGCTGAAGACTCCAGGTGCCCTGACCTAGGGAATCTTCCCAATCCCATTACACCACAGTAGGACGTGCGCTCCTTTCGAACATCTGTCTCGCTATCTGATCACCTCCAGGTGACACTCAGGGCCATCTCTGTTCCTTCGAGGGCCTCCCTGTTATTCCCCAAAATGTAACTGCTTCATGTTCTCTTTCCCCTCCTCCGCCCAGTGAGGTGTGCCCGAGACCAGGAGGGCTATTTTGCTGACCGTCTGTACAAGGCCATGAAGGGTGTGGGGACCGATGAGGAGACGCTAATTCACATCGTTGTGACCAGGGCTCAGGTAAGGCACCCCCGGCTCCGAAGTGGCAGGCTGTGACTCCTCTTTTTGCCACCGTGGGCATCATCAGCAAATAGTTTTCACTTAGAGCCTCTTTACAGAAAAAGTAAAACAAGGACACCTTGTGCCTTCCCAGACTTTGTGAAAGACCCTTTGTGCTACGCTTCAACCTATTTCTTTTTGTAAAACTACAATAATGATAGCCACTTCTCTTTCTGTCACCTGCGGCTCCAGAAAGCTCCTGGTGGTGTGCAGGGGGACGTCCTGGGGCCCTCCGGGGTGGCACAGCTGGGCTCGGCTCCATTTTATGGAAGGAAACACTGAGACACTGAAAACTTAGTGCCGGGCGAGGTTAGCCAGCTGCAGGGACAATGAGCAAACGATTGCCTAGCTCCTGAGCAAGGCCTTTATTTAATTGTGCAGAAGCACAGTTGTGCACAAGAAACACATCAGTGCAAGACAATGTGTCTCAACCTTTCTAAAATTATTAATTGCCCACTAAGGAACCCTTTTGGACCTACCCATTTTTTCCTTAATTGCCACCCCCCTTCCCCATCAAGAAATGTTAACACCGCAAATATACTGTGTGTCTGTTTATGTTCCATTTATAGGTACTTTTACATAAAAAGATTGAGGGTTATTTTCCACCCTGAAAGAACCAATTTTTGCCCTGTTAGGAATGCTATTATCTCCCTTTGAGAATGCATGAGTATAAGAAAGGGGCGGGGGGTGGGGGGGTGAGTAGCCAAAGCTTGGGAGCAGCTGTGAAGATTCATAGCAAATGCTTTGGAACATAGAGCCGCACAGAGCAGAAATGACAAGGAAAAGAGGTGTGTGTGCAGTGCGGGGAGAATGGCGTTTCAGCTGCAGCAGGAGAAGCCTTGGAGAATGAACTGCAACTGGTAACTTAACATCCACATCTTCACTCAAAAAAGTGTTAAATGAAGGGGGGAAGCTACCAACCCAAATTCTGGCCCACAGCTTTTGACAAATAATGCTTAACATCTAACTAACATTGTTGTTTTTAAATATAACTTAGCAACAACATCATTCTTTCGTTTTTATTTCTGTTCCTGGAATTTGTCCTCCCCTCCTTTTTCCTCCTCCTCCACTACGCGTATTTTTCTTTCTCTCTTAAAGTCCTCGTCTCTCTCTCCCCTCTTCCGCTCCTCTGATCTCTGTCACCCTCCTGCAGGCCTCATTCTCTCCCTCGTGGCTCCGAAGCTCTCTCGTTCCTTTACCTCTCTAGGTCTCTCTCTTCTCTCTCTGTCTCTTAGCAACTCAACCCCCCAGCCAAAGTCTTCAAGTCAAAGGACCAGGCTGGTGACAGAGCAGGGCAGGGATTCTACAAGAGCCCAGGGGAACAGGCGGGTCCGGAGGGATCCTCAGGGCTCCATGTTCACTCCCTCCAATGTGGGCCCAGAGTGTTTATTCCAAGACGCTCTGCCCATCTCGGTACCAACCACATGTCCTGGGTCATGTCCGCACATGGATCGCCCCTCATGGGGCTTCAGGGCCAGCCAGATTTCGTTGACCAGAACCCCTAATCCGCCAAAGCATCAGGGTCTAAGAACAGAGCCGCAGGCTGCCCTCCGCATGGAGTCCCCACCTTTCGGCTCCGCCCCCATCCACACAGGGCACAGGCCAGGGCAGCAGAGAGACAGGCGCCACCTGCCTGCTCCCGCCGCTCTCCTGCTCAGCACCCACTTGGAACAACTCCTCATGCACCCACCTTCTCCTGTTCTCATCTTCCTCTCTCCTGTTCAGCTCTCTAATTGGGGCAGGGGTAGAAAGCACCAGAACTTGGGCGATGGTCTGTACGTCTGTTCACCAGCACTAACTCCTGTGCTGATCAGGGTATGAGGGGAAAAAGAGGCCTCATTTCAAATTTCTGTGTTCTGTCCAGTCCTGCTAAATAAGAACTATTTGTTTTTTAAATAACTATAAAAAGTTCAAAAGATAAGTAACATCTTTCAACCCGTAAAAGTCCTAAGAAATCCAAGCGTCAGGGCCCATCACGCCTTGTTGGAGCACAGACGCCCACTCACAGCCGTCGCCACCCCTGTGTGGGGAGCTGAGCCTCCCTCCTCCACACCACAGCGAGAGGAAGGGTCCTACCTCTGCAGGTGGCTTTGCGACGTAAATGCGCCAATGAGAGTGCCGCGCTTAGGGTAGTGCCTGCCCGCATTTGTGGTGAACGTGCTACAAACACGCTTGTCTCCATCTCTGTGGTGATCTCTCCTACAGGTGGACCTTCCGGGAATAAAAGCCAAGTTCCAAGAGAGGTATCACAAGTCCCTCTCTGACATGGTTCGCTCAGACACCTCGGGGGACTTCCAGAAACTGCTGGTAGCCCTCTTGCACTGAACGGAGCCTGCCGGCCGGAGCACAGGGAGGAGCCTTCTTTGTCCAGAGCCCATTCCAAACCGGATTTGCAAATGTGGCTCCGGCAGGAAAACCCTTCAAGAGTCCTGGTCCAGTTTTTGGCAACTTCAGCAGTGCAGCCAGGCCGGGCTGTTTAAGTCAAAGACAGCAGCTTCCAGATGCTTGGGAAGGTTGCCCTTGCAGTCCAGCTTAGCAAGTGTCTGGGCTGCCTCTTGTTTCTTTAGCGTGGTAACTGAATGCTTTGCAAGCTCAAAGGAAATCAGCAGTTGATGAAAACAAACTATCCATTTGTAACAAAATATTTAGAAGAAGATATTTTGCGGAGGGCTGGGGGGTGGGGCTAGTTCTGGATAAAGACTAAATGGTTAATGTGCAGGGAAGAATAAACAAATTCATTAATTTTCCTTCTGTGTGTTCAATTTCAAAGCCTCGCTCTTATTAAAGTTGTGGCTTATGCCTCCATCAGCTGCTTTTCCAAAGACTGGGTTGATTAGTTTTGGCTCTTGGCCTACAAATATATGACTTGTGAAATTCAAACATATTTGGGAAACACAAACAGTTATATTTATTAGTAATCACCAAGGATAGCCATCAAAACCAGCAGCCAGGAAACAACTGACTCACCCAGGAGAAATATAACGAGGTAACATCCACTAATCTGTTACCGGGCTTACCTGGTTTGTCTTGCTTCTGTAGACATTTAACCCACCTGAGTCTTCCGTCTGATCTTCAGATACAGTTAGGCTGGGCACAATGCCAATAAGATCAAGGTCAACAAGCTGACTCTTAAATGGATTTGTTCCACACTGATACCATCTTTGTTCCAAGATGTTTGTCTTATAGCTTCAAGTTACCAGACATAGAGGGGTCATCGGGAGAACATGGACACTTGGGTCTAATCACTTTAGCTATCATTCATTGGGTGGTTATTTGTGTTCGGCACTGCTAATAACATACTTTCCCATTTAATCTTCCCAGCATCCCTGTGAGGTTAATATTCTACCATTTATCTGTCAGTTGAGGAACTGAGGCCTTAAGTAACCTGGAGAAATTTATTTGCAAGTGATAGAGTTGGGATTCGAATTCAGGGCTGGTTGACCCCAGAAGTCATACAACTGACTGCCTTTGTTGGAAAAACAACGCAAAGTTCATGGGAATCGGCCTGTGTTCATTCACCTGCCGAATTCCCTGCTATCTACCACTCACTGCGCTGGGCTCTGGGGATACAAAGATAAGTAGAACACTGGCTATGCCTTGCGCAGTTCATCCCCTGGCCAGTAATAGAGACAGCTGCCTCTATTCAACAGAATGCTGTAAGTGCATGAATACAGGCATGCACTGCTCTCCACCCACGAGCAAGAAGCGGGAACAGGCAGCTCTGCCTGGGGTAAGTGGGGAACGCCTCCAAGAGATACATTTATGTGGGGTTTCGGAGAATGCATCCAAGGTCTCTGGAGGAACAGGGAAAGAAGGGCATGGGCAGAGGTTCAGAAGCGTAAGAGGACGTGATGTGTTCAGGAGGCAGAGATAGCCGCTCTCCTGGGGCGCGGATGTGGTGAAAGGAAGGAGAGAGCTGGGGAGGCAGGCGGTGTAGCTGCCAAAGCGTTTGCTTGAATCACATTAGCAATGGTTTTACCTGCCAAGCGTGGGCCTGGCCCTTTGGGCAATGGCGGCCACTGGAGATGTTTCAGTGAGGAACATTTGGGCCTTGGGAAATCACTTTGCTTGTGTAATCAACGTACAGCAAATTGGCCAAACATTCAGTATAAGAATACGAGTCATGGTGTGTTTTCTCGTGGCTATAAAGTGGTAATTAACAAATTAAGACATTAGGTTCACATTTGTGTTCTCAATATACTGAGTAATGAATCTCCGACCCAGCAATGTGGAGTCTGGCTTGTCCAGCAGCAGGCGATCAGTGCACACAGGATACCTCCAGGCTGCACGCAAACCATGTCGCAGGCCACATTACAGCCAATAAAAATGCTGTAGGTAAGCTCCCAAAGACTAGACAGGCCAAGAAATAAGGGTGCCATAATGGCAGGAATGGCATTCAGCTCTCCTCATCAACAAGCGAGAGCTGCTGTGGACTGTTAGTGCGACTGTCATTTCTTGCGTGACCAGGGCACAGGCGCAGATGAGAACGCTGGGAGACACAGGGTCAGGGGAAAGAGGAGGAGCAGCCGGGGCGGGGGGTGGGAGGGGCGGGGAGTGGATTTTTCAAAATAATCTTTTGATTTTTTTATTTTGTCTTATTTCTGTAACTTTTAGATTTACAGAAAAGGTGTAATTATATCACAGAGAGCTCCCCTACGCCCCACTCTCAGTTTCCCATGGCACTAACATTACGATGGTACATATGTCACAACTTATGAACTAATGTTGGTAAATTATAATTGACGAAAGCCCATACTTTATTCACATTTCCTTAGTTTTCACCTAATGTTGTTTTCCGGTTCCAGGTTCCCATGAAAATATCACATGACATTTAGTTGTTACCTCTCTTTAGGCTCCTCTAGACTATGGCAATTGTTCAGGCTTCCCTTCTTTTTGTCTACCTGGGCAGGTATTTTGCGGAATGTCCTTCAGTTTGGATCTGCCTGATGTTTTTCTCATGGTTAGACTGGGGTTACGGGGTCGGGGAGGAAGATCCCAGAGGTGAGGTGCCATTTCTATCACATCATATCATGCTGCCAACACAACCTATCACTACTGATGTTGATCACCTGGCTTGGGCCGTGCTTGCCAGGTATTCATCTCCACTGTGCTCAGGAAAAGGAAGCCACTGTGTACAGCCCACACGTCAGGGTTCCGGAGTTATGGTCTACTTCCTTGAGTGGGGAATACTACATAAATTATTTGGGATTCTCCTGTGCAGGAGGTTTGCCAATTCTCCCATTGTTTCCCTATTTAATAATTTATTTACGTCTGTATAGATTTATGAACAATTTATTGTGAACTTTGGGGGATAATCCAATATTATATTATTTATTTTGTCGCTCAAGTTGTTCCAGCTTTGTCAACTGGGAGCTCTTAAAGTTGGCTCCAGTGTCCCTTTGACACACGCCTTGACACACCCCTTCACTTGGCTTTTGAGTACTCCTTTAATTTCTGAAACTATGAGATGTTCCAGGTCCATCTTATATATTCTCTTCCCAAGTCCTACAATCTGCCATCTGTCTAAGGTGTCCTGGTTCCTTTTATTAGATAATGGTATTAGAAACCAAGATCTGGGTACTGGGTGCGCTCATTGCTACTGGGGTGTCATTGCTTCTAGGCCCACTCAGTGGACAGAACTAGGAAATATAAGTCTGTATACTAAGCCATGTGTCATACATGTCTACATTTATAGATACATTTAGATAGAGGGTATAGATATAGGTGTAGGTATAGACATAGGTCCATCTGAATCTACATTAAGTTACACATGAGATTAAATGATGTCTTCAACTTTCATCCAGTGCCACCTGGTTCATAGAAGGGGATTTTTGACTTTGACTTTTTTTTTTTTTCATTTATTTTTAGAGAGAGGGGAAGAGAGGGAGAGAAACATTAATGTGTGGTTGCCTCTCACGTGCCCCCTACTGGGGACCTGGCCCACAACCGAGGCATGTGCCCTGACTGGGAATCGAACCAGCGACCTTTTGGTTTGCAGGCCAGCACTCAATCCACTGGGCTACACCAGCCAGTGCAACTTGGACTTCTTAAAAACAGCACAAGGAGACAAGATAGTAGAAGGGACACTCCTAGAAAAAAAGAGCCATGGAAAGAATCAAAGCAAACCACACACATCGTACTGCATGTGCCACTGATAATACTTCCATTTGAAATGGCAGAGTTTGTGCCAGGTCTTGGGAGAAAGGGCAGGCCATGGCTGAGTGCTCCTCAGACCTCCACACCTGGTACCCACGGAATTTCCTTAGGTTTCAAAAGAGAATGCTCAATGGCTTCTTTGGGGATAAACCAGAAATACCAATGTCTTCTGGTCCTAAGGTAATCAGTTTTCAATGAGCTCAAAATGTGTTCAGCCAACACTGAACCATGCAAGCAAAGGGGGGAGACAGACCAGCATCAGCTCTGACTGGTGTGGCTCAGTGGATTGAGCACTGGCCTGCAAACCAAAGGGTCACCAGTTCGATTCCCAGTCAGGGCACATGCCTGGGTTGCAGGCCAGATTCTCCATAGGGGATGCTCCAGGGCAACCACACATTGATGTCTCTCTCCCTCTCTTTCTCTGTCCCTTCCCCTCTCTCTAAAAATAAATAAATAAAACCTTTTTTTAAAAAAAGGAAATAAAAACTAGCTTCAATGTCATAATCAAGACAGTAGGTTTACATGTCAGCCTCTTCCTGTTAATGATTTTTGGTCCCAAATAACTTTAGGATGGTTTAGAACAATGATGTCTCAGGACAAAGGAGGCCTGAGGCGTTTTTAGACTTTAGAAGGAAAAAGGCATTGGTTTTTAATCATTTCTCACTGTGAGTAATGTGGACCCAGACAATATGACTCACAAACCAAACTGTACACACTAATTGGTCAAAGTCTGAAACCTATCCAACTATTAATTTTTTAAAAATCCTACTGAACCAGTTCAAGTTAGAACCAGTCTTTGAAAAAGGTTGAGCCAGAAGGAAAAAGAATCAACAAAGGAAAATCATTTTCACACAAGTATTTCATTCACTTCCAGTGTCTGGTACATACAAATATGCACTGTGTGCATTTCAATTAGTAGGACCTCTTTTAATCAAATCTTACTTAACCTACTTGACAGATTAACCAACATGCCCAATCCTCTCTACACAGTCTACGGGTGGGTGTCCTAGGTGCTCTGAAGGCTGGAAGCTGGTGTGGGACTGGGTAGGAAGCCCTCTCTCTCCTGGTGGCTCATGTATTTTGCAAGAATGCATTGTATTTGTTCCAAAATCTGTTTAGACATATTGTACTCACTGTCGTAATTGCATAACTTAATTAAACATTAAGCA